ACCTTGAGTTCATATTAGATACAGTAATAAAAAGAACCTGTATATATGTGAGTTGTGACCCAAAGGGACACCAGTGGTTTACTGAGCACAACTGATCCCTGAGTCTGTGACCTTATCTTGATCATGAACTTCTCTCAAATACAATATTGATAAAATTTGAACACCTACTGGTGAATCTTGAATGTGTGATGTGATTGAAAAATTGGGGAAGGGGGGGGGGCAATGTAGAAGATCACCTGATTTTGCCAAGGTTTACACTACATAATACAGTCCTCTCTTCATTTTGCGGGCACCAACCTGAAATATTGATTAGCTAACAAATGATTGAATTTTTTAATTCTCTGTGAAATTCTGAACATGATGCCCAGGTGTGGCTGGGCACCCCCAGCTTGTTTGCATAATAAAACAATTAAAACTACTGTATGTATTTCCTGTGCAGTATTAGAGGTTTCTCCAAAGTCCTACAAGCTACCAAACATTTTGCATTGTTGGATCAAACATGACGGTCAATTTGAGGAATTCCTCATTTCGTAAACAAAAAACTGTTCCATTAAAATCAGATGTCGATGATATAGATTTTAGAAACCTCAAATTTTGAAATAGCGGGAGCATGATGAAGAATTTAAAAAAGGTTACTTTGCCGTACACTGCTATTCGGAGATTTTTCGATTCGGTCGGATATTTTTCCAAGCAGTTTTTAAGCATCTTTCTGAAGGGATTCAGCTGTCTAATTTATAATACGCATTCACAGCCACCATATCCTCTTGGTAGTTTCGAATTGATGGCATATAATCTGTTATTATGTATTATGAAAGTCACAGAAAATTGTTTAAACTTAAAAAACACATATCAGCTCATTTGCAGGATACGCAGCATTTAAAAAAGAAAATGAGCTCAAATCTTCTATTTTTTTATTTTTTATCGAGAACCCCTGGGATAAATCAGAAAAATTCAACTCATGCCGCCCATCCCTTCGGGAAATCCCCAGCTTTTGTAAAGGTGCTTTAAACTTTAATAGGTTCCCCAATTGCGATGCAAAGTATCCTCACACTTCTGAATAATTTTTAATGATTTCCACCAAAAGATCTTTCGAATTTTCGTGGGATAATTTTTTCCGTTTCCCCAACCTCCCCAAATTAAAAGGAGTGATTGTCTTCTCATTATTTCTCTCGTCAGAAAAATATATTCCCCTTTTGAAACGCTCTGACATACAAAAAGGGTTCCTACAGCAAGCGCTATATATGTACCCTGCACGTGTGTGACCTCACCGCATTTCAGTAAATTGATATCGATTTAAGCAATTTAAAACAAGATCCCCGTCATCGGAAAATCGCGTGCATGTTCTACTTACTAATCATTTACATAAACCGGAATCTACAAACTTGTTTTCACCATCTACAAATTTGACGAGAGATCAATGGAAAATAATGAAAAAAACATTAGATTTCTTGCTTTCCAACTTCGCAAGCTCGCGTCCATCCGATGTTGAACTGTTAAATTTTCAAATATTTGGGGCAATGTTTCATTAGCTTTGCATTTCCAAGAAGCAACACGAAGCTCGTGACATCTTCAGCGTGTTTTTTCTTCTTTTTTTAAAAGCGATTTTAAATAATTAAAGCAGTGGAGTGCATCATCATCAAAAGGCGTAGTAGCATTGAAACGTGATTAGCATACCAGGCGGGATTTCAATGATCGGATTTTCCGTGATCATTGCTTTTCTTTGTGGCTCGAGAAGTCGGGGAAAGTCGAGAGAACATAAGCGGCGTGCCATGTGTCTGCAAGACCAGACAGCCTGTCGCCTACATGCTTCTCTCGATACCTTTGTTTACGAACTTCCACCAAACGCGCATTGACAAAAGATACTCATCCAGTCTTTTTGTCGGTCAGTTGAACATTGGAGGTCGCTGGGATTAGAAGCCGATCTAGGAATCGCAGAGCCTGTTAAGGATCTTTTGAGGGCGCGGATTAGCATACGTCTGCGTGGTGGATGGTTGCTTTTGTATTGATCTCAAACGCGGGATCTGTTTGCGTGAAACTGAAAAAGGTCTTTGAGCAACAAAGAACTTTCCCGGCTTTTTGTTACAAATCCGAAAAAAGTGCATCACGGTGGGCGTAAGATCGTTTTCCGTGGTAATGTCTCGGTTCTTTGCGGAAGAATGCAAGAAATTTCGGGATTTTGCCAGTGTTAGCTTTCGAGATTTATTTCGGATACTGCAGAAAATGTTCCATCGTATCATTTTCCGCGATTCACAAATCCAAGAAAAAGAGATTCGCCATTCGTCGCGCTTTCTTTTATTCTATTTGTGTTCACTCTTACATCTCCGGGAAATATGAAAACAGAAACATTCTGAAATTTCGAAAGGTATATGTTCTTTATTATTATTTTGTTTCAGGAAGATTTTTCTCAAATTAATACCATTCGAAAGCTCTGATAAGACCTACTTATTGTTCAACTTTCGCACAGATTGGAAATGAAGCTATCGTATTGATGAATACTGTTAATAAATCCAAAAATCGTCAACCTGACACTTTGAATGCGATTGCTTAGGTAAAGGTGGCATAAATCGCACAACTTATGGACCCACTTCTCTGGTACAACAGAAAAATACTGACACATTATTTAAATTAGATTATAAATTTTGATCCAAGCATATAAAAGCGAAAATATCTAAGATCAAAACTGTGATTGAAACATTCAAACAATCAAATATTTCTCGATTTCCACACCAAACGTTTTAGAGCTCTGCTGATGAGTTTTAAAATGGTTATAACAAAAACAAAGTTAATCAAGCGGAATTCTTTTAGAATATTTCAGGCATTTTTGGAAAAATTAAGTGTACAGTACAGTTGATCACCTATTTCTATAGAAGCCGAAAGCCGGAATTCTCCAGGTTTCTACGTTACCATGAACACTTCGGAGCATTTAAACTTTTGAAGGAATATTATCAATTTGGTCAAATAGACGTAGGATTCCGTAAGCTCATCACCCTTTTGAATAATGTAACTATACTTTCTGCAACAAAAATTGTGGTTCGTAGGTAGTGCACACAAGATGATGATTGATGATAATCTTTAAAACCCTATCTGCGTATATGCAGGATTATTAATATCTATATACTACACCAATAACTGCGGTTGAATTTCTTGACAAAATCTTCATCCGTCTTATGAAAGTTTCGTCCATCCGATTTTTTTGACGAAATAGACTGCTCCAGCTCCCACCGTCAACTCTGGATTTTAAGGGTCCGAAATTATTTGAATCGAGACATTTCTAAATTTTGATGTAATTGCCGTCGAAAATTCATGTTGAAATGTTCGCCCGTTCTACGGAGCATCAGTACGTAACTTCCTCTCATTCCATTATCCAATCAAACAGATTAAGCTTTGCATTCTAAAAAACCGCAGAAGTCTTCCTTTCGGACTGCTTCAGCTGAAGCAAACTTAATTTGGTGCATCGAGTCAGGTTTACGAATTAATCGTACTGTATGAGAATTTTATTTTTAGTTATACCGCAGTGAAGCGTCGTAGATGAATGAAATGCATTGATACATGAATGGATTACAAAAGGACGCGTTGTTACATAGTAATGGCATGATCATAAATTCTTATAGTGAATTCTTGAAAAGTTTTCATCATTATTTTACAAAAAGAACCAGCTTTAAAACCTTTTTCATATGTGCGGAATAAAATCGCCTCTTTTCGCTGTTGACTGGTGTAGCTCATTGTTTCAGCTGTGCTGGATATAATTATTTAATTGATAAAATTGGTTTCATGGTACAAGTGACACGTGAGTTAAATTATTGTATCAGGGATGAAAAAATAATTTGATCACATCGTTCCGTTTCATATTCGTGACCCAGCAATTATAATTAAATATCGGCTCGTGCATATTGCATCACCGTGTAATATTACGATTATAATTTACTTCTCGCGACTGATATCGTGTGCAGAGATGAGTATGATTTTCAGGAGATACAAACGCGAGGAATGCATCCGTCTAGATTTCGCTTCTTCCTGAAACGAGTTCTTTTATAAGGCAGCATAAGATTCCATCTCAGGCCCTCATCCACCGAGAAGCATATTTCGGTGACGAATAGACGGAAGGAGGAGAAACAGATGATAAGTCACTCGGTTTGAAACCTGGCATGCATTTCCCGAGGTCATGCCTAGTCCGGCCCCCCGAACAGCCGCCACAGCTGGAAAATTGTGACGTACGCCCCGCCCCACGAATGCGATGCCTCGGCCAATGACGTCGGGCCAGGGGCAGACGGACTGTCCTTTTCGCACCCTAGACCCGGGCCCGATCATCACAGTCGTTTACTCACACATCGATCATCATTCGAACCCAGCGGATGCCTTTTTCATTGCCATTCTCGAGTGCCAAGTCCCCAAATTTCCCCAATTCCGTTTGCGACTCTGCAGTACTGAAACAAAAAAGTAAGTTTGCATCGTTAAGCAGCCGAACCCGTTCCCCATGCATCAAGCTTCAATTCGTCTTCATTGAAAAAATTAATCATCATAATCTATTAAATCTCTCCAGTTGGTCGATTATGCTCGAATTTCTTGGGTCGTCAGTTTCATCCGTACTTGATCTGTTATTCCATTGACTGTACGTCGATGTCCGTGCATCATGGCTGAATCCGTGACAATGCGAGTTAAGACGCGAAGCTTCATTAAATCAACGAGTACAAGTGTTATACCGCAATCAAGTCAGTCAACTTGTCTGAGGACGACTGCTTGAAACTTGATTGTAGATCATGAAAGACAACAGAAACATCGGAAGCTGCCAGTTTTCCCAGTTCAGTGTTCCAATCTCGCAGTGCAAGATGTGTTACGCGCTGACGCGCTCTCGTCGTTTTTGAATAGTTTTGATATTTTATTATTATTCTTCTTATGATTATTACAGTATTATTACGATCAGGAGGAGATTTTCGAGAGGTTAGGAAGTGACTGACTTACGGAGTGCGAAGGAGCAATCCATTGCATCCGATTCGAGTGATATGCGAGTGAAGGTTGAACCCGGGTGCGAGGCGAACAGTAACTCGCTGCCGAGCTCTCCGGTGAGCACCGCCAGCCCGACGAGCCAGAGTGAGATCGTTCCCGGCATGGGCGCCCATCCCGTCGGCCTGACTCGGCCGACCGCCACGTGGCCGCCGCCGCCGTCGGGGTCATCGTCACCGCCGTGCGACCTGTCGCGACTCCCGTTCGCGCCGACGTCGAAACCCAGCGCCGGCGTCCCGTTCTTCATGAACCCGCACTCGTATGCTCCGCTACTGCAACAACTGCAATCGCAACGCGGGCCAACAGCGGCGCCCGGCATGAACTTTTTCGTCCCGACGTCCGTGAGTGATCCGAATCCGTCGGCGTCGCAGCAGTCGTATTACGGGATGTGGCGATCGTCGCCGACCTTGGCGGCCATGGGGATCCTGAATCCGTTGGTGATGCCTTTCGGGTTGTTGCCGCAGCACATGCCCAACTCCCTGCTGCCGCCGCATTTGCATCATTTGCCGTCGGGCTTTCATCCGCCCGAGGAGCCGAAACCGCCGCACAGTTACATAGGCCTCATCGCGATGGCCATTCTCAGCTCGCCAGACAAGAAGTTGGTCCTCAGCGATATATATCAATGGATTCTTGATCACTACGCATACTTCAGAACACGGGGTCCAGGCTGGAGAAACTCAATTCGGTGAGTTGAAATGTCCATAGCTTTCTCCGATTGTCGAATCAGAGCCGAATCATGATCCATTATGAAAACGAAGCCGAGGACAGAGGCAGAAAAACCTTGGGAAGCTTTTCTTCTGGGTCTCCCCTGTGTTCTCAGAACATTTTACCCCTTGCTTGAAACCATTGGCGCGGAAGGTGGCGCCCCTGCGGTTGAATTGTTTGCAAGCATCCGATCCACAAATCATTACCACGGCCTGTGGCTTAAGTTTTGAAACGGGGAACGTGCCTAGACGGGGGATAAAAATAAAATGTGCCAAGATTTTGATGTATTCCTAGTGTTCGATTCAGAAAAGAAAGGTTCGGCCAAAGCGCCTACTTTGGTTTCGAAGGAGAAGTTTTCTTAGCTGGCAGGAGGGAAGCGGAGAATAAACAAAATGACCCTTGCAATCTTCGAGATCACGGGGTCTTCCTTTTTTTGTGTTGCTGCTGTCAATAGGCTTGTGATCCCCTCATCACCCATTTGGTTCCTGATACCCAGAAAATTCCTTCTCACAATCCTCCTCGTTTGTCACCCTCTTATCTCGAGAAAGCAAAACTGTTCTCGTGGGCTCTTCCTCTCGCCAAATCGCGAGGAAAATTCCTCACGCTCCAACTCTCTCTCATGGGGCCTCCTGTCACTCAGGGAAATAAAAATAAAAAGAAACCTCACAAAACCAGCGATTATTTTTTTTACTTTCATCACATGATCTCGGAGACAATCTTTCAACGACACAATTCATTTTACATATTTCAGGGCAGTATTTCATTTCAAAACGTTCCTGCGTTTTCGAACATCAGCAGGCCTACACTGTACTCAGTGACATTTAATTTAATATATATTAAATTATATTTAACAATACAATTTAGAGTTAATTTTTTTTACCAGAGCCCTCCTTTTGCAGCAGATTCATTTGTCCGACCCCTGTTAAAAAAAATTTTAATGGAGCACTTAGAACCAATTCTATGTCTTTCGAAGAAATATATTGCGCTACAAAAACGCCGTAATTATTTCAATAGCCTTCTTTCCTTGAAATGCGCACGCATGATTTATGAGTTTTTTCAAAATTTCTTTCGAAAAAAACAAAAACATACGAATTTTACTTCTCTACCTTGAAATCAAATCAATTTTCTATTTCCGTTTTTTCTTGAACATCCACAGTGCACGATTCACAAAGATGCGTTAGGGCTCCGCGGAGCACTGATAGTAAAACCTCTCGTTATAAAAATATTTTCTTTTTGTTCTTCTAATAATATGCTTTCTTTTGAAAAAAAAAGACTGCGATTTCAGGAAAATCCAAGAATTCTTCGATGCGACTGATATACAAGAAGGCCACATACTATATTGTATACACAATGCTACATATAAAAAAGCCTCTGAATATATTTACATTAAAACATCTGTGAATTACTTTAAGGTATTCGAAGATTTTCTCGAAGATTGCCTAAATGCTTTTCGTGATAACATTACATCCTGGAGCCCTTCGAAAAAAAAAGGATCTTCTTCTGCTTCACTGTAGCAGGCATTATATTATGATTCAAATAAATTATCAGCTTTCCCTACAACAAATACATTTGCTTGTGTTTCACAATAAAGGACAGCACAGTAATGCGAAAAGATAGTTTACGCAAAAGCATTGTCAGATTTTCAAGATTCTTCGGGGATGTCTCAAATCATCATTACTGTGCTTCCTTGTCACTATGTGAAATATGGCATTCGCCTACAAGCGGTGAAATAAATTTCTTATAATATTCATGGAGATTTTCAGTCATGATGGAAATACAACATTAATTTTAGCATGACTGTATTGCTTAATCTGTTCCCTTATTTCATAAGAATGTCCGTCGTTGGTTTTTCAAACGGCATGTCAGAAATTTATATAATTCTCGTTAAAGTCTGGCATGCTCGAGAATAAAATTAATTAATTTATACGCAAATGCCTGTCCATGATTCGTAGTCACATCGAAAATTTTCAACATAATTATCTTTCGGAAATTTCCTGATTTTTTTGTGACTTTCTTTAATGCACGCTAGTCCTTGCGTGTTCCCATGATCTAGAAAAGCGTAAAACTTCGATTCTCTTTCCTGGGTTCTCGCACTACCAAATATCACGGATAATCGGAGATTTCTCACCAAGAAACACAAACGTACCTTTCTTACTCCTATTTGCCCTAAAGGCCCCACAAAACTTGGTGCATAAACGCTGTTGATCAATCAATTCGTGGAAAATTGGAGGCATGAATTGATAGTTTGAGGTGTACCGCTCTGTATCCTCTCAATGGATCTAGATTTGAGCGCGGTTGATCGGGCGCCGAATTAATTTGAGTTCTGCTGCTTTTTCTAAAACGGTATTTTTTAATTTCTCTTCTTCGCAGGCATAATCTGTCACTGAACGATTGCTTCATGAAAGCCGGTCGAAGTGCAAACGGAAAGGGACATTACTGGGCCATTCACCCAGCGAACATATCCGATTTTCAGCGCGGCGACTTCCGACGAAGGAAAGCCCAGCGGAAAGTGCGGCGGCACATGGGCTTGGAGCCTCCAGGCCCGGACGATGAGGACGACGACGACGCGGGATTGGCTCCGGCCGAGTCCCCGTTCCTCCGCCATCATCCGCACATGAGCCCGTCAGCAGCCGTGGCGGCCGCAGCTGCCGCCGCCGCGGCCTACGGCGTCAGCAGCATGCGCATCAAACGCACTTTCGACATGGCATCCCTCCTCGCACCCGACGACCACAACGGCGTGTCCGGGCTGGACACGGCCGCCACCAGGGAACCCGCGTCGGATGAGCCACTCGCAAAGAAAGAGCGGATCGACGACGAGCCGGAAGATAACCCGCGCATCAAAAACGAAGATGAGGAAGACGACGAGGAAATCGACGTGTTGTCTGGCGGTGACGCGGACACGACAGCGAGTGAGGAGAAGGACGATGGGGATAAGTCTTCCGCGGACTTGTCGCCGTCGACGAATGACAAACCCGCCTTGCGACAGAACTTCAACTTGGCCGCCTTCTACGCGGATTACGCTCGGGCGCGGTTGGCAGCGGCGGCTTCGCTCGGTCCCGTGGCGCCCGACGACGTCAACCTCAAGGCACCGCTGTGGTTCAACCCACAAGGCCTGTACTCATACCCCGCGACTTCGACGCCGGGTCATCTGAGCCAGGCGTGGAGACCTCCAGCCCGGTCGCCGTACCTCGACGCGGGCGACGAAACGGTGAAGGACAAAAAGTGATATCTGCGGGATCCCGACTTTTTCCGCTGAACATATGCTGAATATATGGAACTTTGACTAGTAAACGCGATCGAAACGCTTTCAGCTCTGGTGTAGCGATTTGACGAGGTGTGCGCGACTTAGATTAGCTGTGTATTATCGGGCCTCGCGCGGCCATGTTTCGAACAGCCGCGCCGGTTCAATTGAATTTTTAGATTAGCTCAGACCTGAATGACTGTTCTTGCGATCATCTGTAGGACGAGGATTAAAAAACCCGAAGTGGAAAAATGTTCATAGCCTGCGTCGCATTCATTGTTCCTGGTCATTTTGTTATCTCCGTAAACGGATAACCGCGAAAGCTAGCGCGTTCAAACACTCGAACATAGAAAAGAGGAGTGCCTCGCTTGTGGAATGTTGCGAGTGCCTCGGACAAAAGGGAGAATTTCTCCAGAGCTCTCCTGAAGGGGTCCGAAGAATGGAGAAGAGCAAACTATTGAGCGTTTTTTTTTTTTTTTTTTTTTTTTTTTTTTTTTTTTTTGTGTTTTTTTTTTTTTTTTTCNGAGCAAACTTTTGAGGGTTTTTTTTTTTTTTTTTTTGAATTCTCTGGAGTTGTGCCGGAAGACATTGGAACTTGAGATCAGGGTGAGATACACACGTCGGAGTCGAACAGCCCTGGCCATCTTCGTTCAGCGCACGCCCATGTTGGCGGACGCCAAGTTGCCAGTCTCACTTTCTTCGGCTGGAACAGGCACCACAGCGGGTGCCTGAAGCGTGAAGCTGACATGCCTCTCGAAATCTCAGCCCGGCGGAAAAACTTCGCGGCAACTGTCCCTGATCCGCCTTCTCCGGGTTTGGACGCCGGGTTCCCAACGCCACTCGACGGCGAACAATCGCGGCCTTGTTGCAGCACTCATTGGGTTGATCGGATTCCCACGCTTGGCTGGAGAGGAAATCAAACACCAGGGCAGCAGATGCACAGCCGTCGAGAGTCCCGGAGAAACTTTTTTTTTCCAGTAACAACGTTATTTTGGCAAGGATTGCCCCCCCCCCCCCCCCCCCCCCCCCCCCCCCCCCCCCCCCCCCCCCNAAACGCCGCGGGCGACAATGCCGTGTTTTGAGAGCATTTATTATGGCGACCGAAGTTTTTGTCCTGCGATGCAGTTACACACGTGGGACAACACGTCACGTCACGGTTGGACCAACTGACATATCCGCCGCCCCATTCATTTCGCACCGCGGCTCTATTCAACGCGTTAAACCAGAATGTCTGAAGCGCGGGGGGAAATCTGTTGCGAGGAGCATAAATGAAATGAATAATTTGCTGCACAGGATTCAGGGTTGGTTTGCTTCTCTGTTGTATCTACTCTCCACGCCCATTTTCGTATCATCGCGCCTCGGCCTCCGTCATGAGTCCCCGAATTCGCTGCAGCTTTTACTCGTTGAATCCTCCCTGAAGGGAAGTGACAAGTGAGAGAATAACTCCCCGACTGGTTTATTTCAAAATGGGAGGAAACAAATCAAACTGATTTAACCCTCACATATGCGTGAGAATTGCATTCTATCCAAATTATTTCCTGCAAAAACGAAGAAATTCAAATATGTTCTTTCTAAATTTGACCATTTTTGGGAAGGCAAGAAAGAATAAAGCTCATTGTTACGCTAAATAAAATAAAAATGTTCATTTCTGTCCCCTTGCATATTTTCGCCATTTCCTTCCTATAAAATTGACTAATTCTATCAGCAACACAAAATTTTCCCCGTTTCTCGTCATCATTGCACATTTAAGGCAACCACCAATAAAACATAAATTAACAACTTTTACACACTGCATGCACTTCTACATGCTTGGCAAACATATCATCGTCAGCTTTTGCAGACTGTCAGTTCAGTTGTTCACTGATGAATTTGAAGGCACGCTTTTAAAGACAACTGACAATTTCCGAACAGTTTCTCCTCTTGGCTTCAGCTGTTTCAATGACTCGAGATTTCGTAAAGCCGACAATCTTACACCTAGAAAATCGGCACGGGAGAGTGGTATCGGATTAAACCACACGTGGGATTTTTAAGGATCGACTAAGTTCATAAACTTCTCACCAGAAAAAAGAGGCGGCTTAAAATTCGAAAAAACAAGAATCGTGCATTGTAAAGAATATAATTCAGCACTAAAAACTTCTGGTTTGGAAATTTTTCATGAATGGACCGAAAAGTTCACGCATCTGTAACTTATCCCTTGTATACAATCCGGCCATGAGGGAGCCCAATGCTGATTGTGCGGTCAGGTGTGCAAAGCGGTGTAGCCACTCAAAAACGTAATGCAGAAGGATAATATGATTAATTTCAATGCTGTATTCAGTATACTGTATTGTTATATTCACCCGAAGACGTGAAAACAAGCTCTCTGTTCATTTTATGTTGAAGAATCGTTCACCTTTCAACTTACATGGAAGAGTACGCCGGGTGGACGCGAATAATTCACGCACCGTGGTTGTAAACAATCATTCGCAAACAATAATAATAATTAGCTCAGACAACAGAAAAATGGGAAATCATCGACAAAGAACGCTGCCCATTTCCGCATGAAATCTTGATTGCATTTGACATTTCAGATAGTGTTGCGCTCATAAAACGAAAGATTACTTTGCAAAACAATCCACGACGCACTTACATAACAGAAAACAACGAAACTTATTTAAATCGCTTGCCTGCTTTTCATTTTGGCAGAACTGCTTCTGTCTTACCGTACTTTTCCCTGTCTTGGCCTCTTCAAATTCACTTGATTTCGGATCACGGTTATCTCAGATACCTCCACGGCAGACTCGAAGGTGGCTTACGTTCGAATACCCCTAGTAGGCCACATTCAACATTTTCAGCACATTTTCTGGGGAATGTGCTAAAGAATCACATAAATTTCTGAAGTCCCGGTAAGGTGATTAAGTTTCCATATGAAAATGTGAGCAGGGAAAATTTTGCATGGAAGGTATCCATCCGCGGTGCGTAATGCTACACTACCTTTATCTCACTTGAATGTATTGTACTGTACACTGCAATCTTAACTGACCAAGAAGTGCATGCTATGGCTTTGTTAAACAGAATTTGGAAAAAAAGAAACATCGTACAATAATATTACGCATCAACAGCAATTCTGGAAAAGATGCTTTGGCTATTCCACTTATTTACGTTGTCTCCCAGCTGCACATGCTATGTTAGATAATGCAGCAATTCAAATCTACAGTAAAATCTTGTTACAACAAAAACCGTTACAAAAATTTTCAGTATAACAAAACTTTTTTCAAGTCCTAGCAGAAATCATATACTGTAGCAGGGTACATGTTATAAAAATCTCATAACAACAAACTTGCCAATTCCAGTATAAAAAACTTTTTCAAGGAAAATTCGATGATTTGTTGATGAAAAATCCGTAATGGAGGCAGGTGCAGTCTCACATTTCCCATTCATAAATGTGACTGGTAACTGGTTCTTGGAACATAAGATGGAATCAAGCACAAAAATTCTTAAATTCCCTTGAAAATCCTATCTTTCAAAAAATATTCTTATGTAAGGAATGATGGTGGGAGGGGGGTGGTTAGATGAAAAAATGAGCCCAGCAATACTCATGTTAAAAAGGGTTTGTATGCTTGAGAAACCCCAGTGATTAAAAATTGTCAGCAATTTTGGAACATTCAGCCTTACAATTCTTTGGATGAATTGCTTTAAAAAACTCAAGGGTCAAGAAAGTGTGCTAGTATTTAACTGTTATTCAGAGTATCTGTTTTTTTTATTAAGAATTACATTTCTTTTTGAAGATCATAGTTTTTTAATGATTGAAAAACATCTGAAAAGGCCACAAAATGAAGACATTGAATATATGCTGGTCTAATTTGAAGAAAATCTTTCGATCAGTCAATAATTTTCAAAATCTCATTATAAAAATTATCTGTCACAACAAACATTTTCTGAAGTCCCCACAAGTTTGTTGTAACGAGATTTTACTGCACTGCAATTTTAAATCAATCTTTGGGAATTACGGAAAGTTCTCGATTAATCAGGCCAGAATAATTTTACTCTAGCTCTCGCAATCCGAACAGAAACAGTGAGGGCAGCCGCGATTCATAAGCATTATTCCTCATAACAATGTCATTGTAGTGTACTGGTCACCCAGGACTATTGCATCACACGCATTTCAGGAACGTTCCTGCGACCATCAATGGAGGTCACGCGATTGAGGCACACGGACACGGGATCGACGCTAATAACTGGACTTGTTTACATGACATATATATCATATTCACGAGTGGATCCTCGATTCTCATGACCCCGCAATAATTACACACACGTCAAGCGCGCGGGACGCATGACACATTAGGGGGAATAATGCTGTCACGCGGCGTCGAGTGTTCACCACTGCACGCATTATTAGTTGAAAACTTGGGCTCGATTCCGCTCACCATTTTATGCTCCATCAACGTGGGAACAGATTTTCCCCGAGGATTGACGAGGTGATCGACGCGCACGAAATCCGACTGTCATGTACCCCATTTCGGCGGGAGGGCGAAGACGCGAGTTATTCGGTGACAAAATACATGCTACGCGAAGCACACACGTTTTAATCTTGATGGCGGAACAGGTTCAAAGTCGATCAGTCACGGGACGAATCGTGTAATTTTTGTGGACTCTATTCCATCTCGGATGACATGCTCGCCTTCGTCGTGAATCGCGTGACGCAGGGAAAAGGTGTCGTTCCGAAATGGTGCTCGGGAAACCAATTTCCTAGGTGACTTCTTCGCGTGAACGCTTCCTGGATGGAGGTTGAAGAATAAACTTTATTGCCTCCTCGCGGCGTTCAAAAGCCTCAGTGTCATCAATCTCCGCTCGTCGTTCCAAAATGGTGGACGAAGCGGGGTCCCAAACCTCTGTTCCTGACTCGCGGAAATGTTCGCTGCTAAATAACCACTATAGGGGTCGAACGTATGCAACTTCAGCTTCATACTTATTTTAGCTTGAGATGCCATCGATCTTGATGT